CTACTGCTTGGCGTCCACCAGCGGCAAGCATTTAAGTCGCTAAACACTGGTAGTTCGGTTCAGGGTTTGAATTCCGGTGAGCAGGCTGGCCACGTATGCGTTTTCGTGGTTTTCTCTATGTGTAATGTGTAATGTGTATTATAAGCCAGTTTCTCTTACCCCCTCCCTAGGCAGATAGCTCTTGAGTGCTTTGCCATGTCTAAATAAACCAAACTAAACCAACCCACTGCTTGGGGACTTTTTTGGATGGGTGATAAGTGTACCAAATATGATCACTTTGATATTTTGAAGCAGTGAATTGATTTTGCATTTTCATGCACAGGTTAAAGCCACTTTGTAATCTAGCTATATTGGCTAACTGAGGTGTCTTTAGTGGTTTATTTGAATAGCTAAATTAATTGTCATTAGATTTTTCGGTGAATCTTTACATTATGGTAACTTAGCGATTTTTTGGCGACCAACCATACTACAGCAACCTGCTAGTTTTGTTTTGGACGCCATTTTGTTTTCACAAAATAAAGGCATTTTTTTTTTTTTTTTTTTTTTTTTAACTCAACATTTTTTCTAAAAATCTGCTAGCCGAATTACGCTTATACTAGAGCTTTTATGGGAAAAAAATGCTTAATTACGACGAAGATTAGGTGCGAAATTGAGGAGTAAAGTGCAGAATTGCCCACTGCTGTTTTTAAGAATTGCACATACACGATATCCATGTAGATACCAACATCGACCTATTTTCCCTTAAAAAAAAAACATCTCAGAACTTGCACAAAAATGGCCATTGCGCACACTCTTGACTTTATCTATGTACACATCGACCTATTTTATCTTAAAAAGTCAAAGAAAATTGACAAAATCCAATTCTTCTTACTCTTGTAAAAAGTGCCAAACAAATAAGCGGGCGATTCTGCACTTTAGCAGCGAAAATTATTTCTAAGTGCTTATGAGCTAAAATCACGATCAGAATTTTCCGGAAAATGTCACATTACATGTCTCAATCTCTCATTTCTCTGAGACAAAATAATCTGTGATCGAACTGTGTACTTTTCAGATTATTGCTAAAGTCCTAGCTAGTAACCTTTATCGCCTTACCAAAATGTCGCCAAACTACCTGTTACCATATTCTAAAGATTAGCCGATTTTTCTCATGTGTTAGTTGTTTTTCAGACGAGTAGTTATTTTGCTTTTGTATTCTTGCATTTTTTCTTTATATATTTCTTTAAGTAATAGCATTTTGATGTAGTACTTTGCTGGACTGGAGATCCTGGACCATTGTCACCAAGTTGCAAAATCTTGCCAAATCTGGCAATATTGCATTTTTACTGAAATTATGTCAAGCTGCAAAAACCGTTTGGGCTTTTTTAATATTCTTCATTTTACTGTGCTTTTTGTGGATAATTGTATGGGGAAAATGGTTGGTGTCAAAAGAATTGAACACATGGAATTATTCAGTTACAAGGTAAGGGCTAAATGCATGAATTTTGGCTTGATTTCGAATGTGGACGAGTGTCATGTGTGGAAAATTACTAGAATGAAATTAGTTGGAAGAAGATATGCAATAGATCTGCAGGTCTTTTCAAGCAGGAGGTCTGAAGGAGTTTTAAAGAAAGGGCTCTTGGTTTTCTGAGGGACAAATATGTGCGAGTCTGATCCTTCAACTGACATATTTGTTGGAGTAATAAATGTTGAATCAGTTTATTATGGATGAGTTGTGCATGAGTGACTACACAGTGGTAGATAGGAAGATAGCATCGAGAAAGGTGTCTTTGATGTGCTAGAAAGAGCCAAAACCCAATTCATGGTGTACTGAAAATGGAAGATTTCTCAATGAAAGTATAGAATATTTACATAATGCAAGGAAAAAGGACCTGTTTGTTTGATAGTATTAATGCTATCAGATTCTTGGTGATTTAATCACTGACTGTGTACTTACTTCACCGAAATTCTGTCTAAGTGAAATAAAATGGTAAATGCAGAAATAAACTGAACCCTTGAAGAAATTATTTAAGTAAATCTTTATAAATAACATGAAAATTAAATAGTTGTAAATAACATTGATTACACCTCTTTCACAAATACAGTCAAAAGTCGATAATCCGGACTCGTCGGGACTTCGGCGATTCCGGATTATCGATTTTTCCGGATTATAGATCATCAGTTTAAATCTCGTAAGATGGCACGCAGAAATTCCAAAATTAAAAATATGAAACCGTAATTTATGAAATAAAGAACAATTATGATCTAAAGGGTATCAAAATTTGCAAAAAGAAAAAGCTTAATATTTATTTGTTTACTTTATTAAACATTTCTTTCAATGTAAGTTGTTTAAGTTTTGCTTCGTTTCATGTGATAATACTTTCTCTTTAATTCTATTAAACAGACATAATTTCTTGTTCAGTTACAAAGTTCCGCCGTTCAAGTCCTATAATTGCTGTGTCAAGAACATCGACTAATTTGTCAATCGAAATTTTTTTGTTTTCAATAATCTCTGTCACTTTTCTTCGCTATCGGAAGCGAATTATAATGACGAGGAACTTGTTTTAAATCATATCAAAGACGGAGCATATCGAAATGAAATACTACATTTGGTGAGGAATTATAAGCCAAATAAAATAAAAACATCTGCGCTGAAGATAAGGATAGTGTTGACAAATCAACTTCCAATTCATTACGCGCCCGCCGCCGAGCAGCGTGAAAATGATAAACAGATTTCGGATTTCAAAACATACTTTCGCTTTAGATCCTTTACATATTAACAAATATATATCGGAAATTCTATTTGATATAATCGAAAGTTTAAGCTTACTTTTATAAAATTGCTCTTACAGTCTGCAAAAAATAATAAGCCGGATCCAATTCGAAAATTAAGGAACAACGCGATCATCAACATTAACTGAAATAGATAATTAGATAATTTTAGCTTATACGTTCATTATACATAAAATGCGCACGCGAAAACGTATTCTGCACTTACGCACACTCATATGCGCAGTCGTAAAAGGTCTTACACGCACGCGTGAACGCCTCTGCGCATGTGTCAACGTGGCGCATGCGCAGAAAGTTTTTAGTTTTGATGTCCGGATTATAGATCATTCCGAATTATGGGTGTCCGAATTAACGACTTTTGACTGTATATGTTTTAAACTAATCGAAGAATAAGAAATGCTAATTTGTGTGTATGTATATGATTGTAGTCACCCAAATGGTTTAGTGATACTGACTGTCGTACTGATGGGACCGGGTTTGAGTTACCTGGAGAATGATGTTTGTGAGCATAAAGAATCTGTGTGGCAAGGGGATACTTAAAATATCCGGTGAAGCGAATGTCCTCTTGAGTGAGTGGTTGTAAGGGAAGAGGGGTTGGAAATCTGAGACTGTCTCCTCCCAGATATTCTCTTTCAAAATTGGGGTAGAGCTGTGCAGTTCGGTGGGATTAAACTTGTATAACCTATGGTGAAATTCTGGTGTCCCACCCACTTTTACCTGTGCCATGCTATCTCTTGTAGTTGGACTTCTCCCCAAAAAAATTAGTTCTCAAGAAATAAAACATTTGTTTGAAAGGTTGCTGTATTAAATTAGCTGTCAAATGAGCAAAAAATGTATCAAGTTGATAAGGAAATTGTATGGCACTGGACTGCTAATGCTACTAATAACAGACTAAGCTGTTTATTCAATCTTTTTATGTATTAATAATTTTTTAATTTCTAATGACAAGCAGAGGTAGTTTTTCCTACCTTTAAGTGGTGATAATTATACAAACAGTTATGAATAGAATGTAAACTTTGCTTCATCCTTAAAATCCTTAAAATTTCAATAAATTGCTTTGGTTGTTAGTTTCAATGTGTTTTGTTACTGACAGGGCTGTGGAGTCGAAATCGGAGTCGGGCAGATTTTAGGGTAAAAGGAGTCGGAGCTGGAGTCACTGAAAACAGATCCACTCGGACTCCTTTTTGTAGGACAATTTGAATTTGAAATGAAAAAAATAATTATGACAAGCAGAGTTCTTGTTTTTATTTATGGAGTATATACATTAAAAAATAGTAATTTTCTATTCTATTGACATATTAATAAATAAATATAGGGGAGGAGGATAGATGTGATATTTGCCATTAGTGATTAAACTGATTCATTGAGTTACAAATCTCACTGGTAAATTTAGGTAAGCAGCAATAGCAGCAAGAACTTCCAAAATTGATGCCATTCTTAAGAAGCAAGCAGGGAAAAGGAGCAATTATTGATCAAGGAACACAATAAGGAAGTATGTATTTGATGATAAAACAGGTTGTTAGAATTAAGAACGTTTTTAGAAGATGCAGATAACCCTAATGTTTCACTAACAGAAAGACTGTGGAATGATCTTGCAGAATTGGAAACTCTTCTTTTTACACCATATATAGCCACAAAAAAAGCTGCAATCTGAAGAATTGATAGGAGGTGAGAATGGAAGAATTTTATGTTTGTTCTTTCCGAAATGGAGGGTTTATTGTAGAAGGAACTATGCAATCTGAAGAATTGATAGGAGGTGAGAACGGAAGAATTTGATGTTTGTTCTTTCTGAAATGGAGGGTTTATTGTAGAAGGAACCATTTCTTCAATTAAGTAAAGAGAAACTAGTTTGCTAGACAATGAGATGTTGCTGGGTTGAATATATGTAGATCCGAAACACAGAATTTTCTTGGCTGACAAACAAATTGAAAAGGCAATGAAAGCCATCTATGAACTTTCATTAAATTAATTAATCTAATTTTCATTAATTAATGGCCGAAACTATTCATTAATCTAATTAATTTTCATTAAATTAATTAAATAATGAACTTTCATTTAATTAATATAATTAACATTTCATTAAGAATGAAATTATTCTCAGAACAATTGAGGAATTCGAATCAGAAGAATCAAACTGCAGACATTGCAATTGAGTCTATATCATCCTCTTCCAAAGATGAATTTGATTTTGAGAAATACTTTTGGTTAATATTGAAAAGGCTAAGGCAAAGCGAATGAAAATAAAGAACCAAGAGCCTTTAGATGTAAAAATGAAAAAATACGAACAAGATTTCTACATGCTTTTTGAAGAAATAGAGAAATATGATTGCCCTTGTAAGACATCTCTTTTAGAACTTCTAAAAAATCTATCGTGAAAAGTTAAAAGAAGTAGCCCTAACAGTAACAGCTCTTTCACCTACTCAAGTTAGTGTGGAAAGACTTCTCAGCTCTGAAGTTTATCAAATTGGATCTATGGCCCTCCAACAAAGAAGGTCTTGCCGAAGCTATACTGTTCCTTAAAAATAACTAATGCCAGTTTTTCCATTTCATAATAAATGCTAATTAATATAAATAATTTGCTATACCATAAATTTTTTCTGTAGCATCTATTATTTCTTTTATATTAAAAGAAAAAAGCTGTAACCCATGTGTATATGTTTACATATATATACAGTACAAAGTCTTTAATCTGGATGTCCATAATCCGGACCTCAAAGTTACAAACTTTCTGCACAAGCATGGCGTTTATGCATGTGCATAATACGTTTATGCATGCGCATTTAATGTATAACAGACAGTATAAGCTAGGCTAAAATTATCTAATTATCTATTTCAGTTAATATTGCAGATAGCATTGTTCCTTAATCTTCTAATTGGGTCCGGCTTATTATTTTCTCCAGACTGTTAGAGCAATTTTATAAAAAGTAAGCTTGAACTTTCAATTATGTCAAAAAGAATTTCCGATTCTGGAGCTGCCAAAGGATCTACAAAGCAAAAGCATATTTCGATGTCCATCAAGCAAAAAGTGGAATTGCTGCAAGAAATGGATAAAGGCATGAACAAAGTGACAGAGAGGTTAGTGAAAAGGAAAAATTTCGATTGACAAGTTAGTCGGTATTCTCGGCGCAGCAATTACAGGACTTGAACAGCGGAACTTTGTAACTGAACAAGAAATTATGTCTGTTTATAGAATTAAAGAGAAAGTATTAGCACATAAAACGAAGCAACTTAAATAACTTATATTGAAAGAAATGCTTAATAAAGTAAACAAATAAATATTAAACATTTTTTTTTGTAAATTTTGATACCCTTTAGATCATAATTGTTTTTTATTTCATAAATTACGATTTCATATTTTTAATTTTATAATTTCTGCATGTCATCTTACCAGATTAAAATTGGTGATCTATAATCCGGAATCGCCAAAGTCCCGACGAGTCCGGATTAACGACTTTGTACTGTATATATATATGTGAGGGAGTCGAGTCGGAGTCTTTAAAATTCCAGGAGTTGAAGTCGGTCATTTTCCCTACTGACTCCACAGCGCTAGTTACTGATAAAAGTATTTATGAAAAAATTAAGTTATATTGATTTACATGTAAACAGTGAGAAATTTGGTGATGAATTATATGAAAATTAGATTATAATATGCGTTTTATTAAACAGATGAATTATTTTACAAATAAAATTTTATATTTTGGTTTTAAAAACATTAGTTTTGAAATTTCTAAACTAAGTTTATGTTTCTTGCTTGTGTTTGGATATAAGATTTTTTTTTTTAATCCCAGAAGGGATATTAATATCGTTTTGGCATTTTGCGTTGATTCACTTTTCAAACTGTTGCTACCAAATATTATTGCCCTGTGTTATATTTAAAGAAATTAAATAATTAAAAATCTGCATAAGTGTATATGTATATTTCTCACATTGTGATAAAACAATGGTACGTAGACCCATCAAATTTTGAATAACGTAATCCTCCACCAAATATGGGCATCTGGAAGCTCTAATTTGGAATTTGTTTTATTATATATGACATTGACTATTTCACATTTTATAAAGCATTTATAATATTTATGAGTTGTTAATTAAGAAACTCAATGATTTCAAAGCGACCAATGGCAACTCTGTATGGAGGGGAAAAAAACATTTTCATGTCCAGTGTGCGAGACTGTGTATCGAGAATTTTAAAGATATGCTCATTTAAAAATTATTTTTCGATATTGTTGTGGAATTGAATTTTGTGGTTTAAGTGCAATATTTAATAAATTGATGATGATATTTAATAAATAAAGGTAACATAAAATGTTTAAAAAGGCCCCTTTGGGTGTAATATAAAATCTGAAAACTTTCAAAATTTTTATCTGTTCATCATTGTCTTTTCATTCTGTATTTACTTTCCATAAATTGTAAAAGGACTTTTCTGTTTCGAAATTTAATATTAAAGTAGCTGCATAGTTCAAAGGGAAATGTCTGTTGTAGAATAGTGTATAAATATGGTTAAAAATTTGCAGCAGGTAGATAAAGTGTCAACTGTGTAAAGACTTGGTTTTATAAATTCAATTTTCAATTAAAAAGACAAATTTGATAGCCAGACGTGTTACGTGCATGTTGCTATTTTCATGGATATGTGTGGAGCTTGTTTTAATACACATTGCTGTTTTCATGCATGCATGTGTGTGTGTAGAGACTGATAAATATTTGTTTAGTTGAATCACTATTTGTGAAATTGGTTAATTTGTTAAATATTTTATTAGTTAAAGTGTTATGTTTATAATAATTTTCTTATGATTTAAAAGCAATAGTTCTTATTTATCTTCATGGTGCCATTGGAATAGTTGCTGGGATGTATAACTAGGAGCCTGATGTATACATCAGAGCCTTTTTTTTAATTTAAGGAAACAACAAAATTCATGAACTGCAGAGAATACACCATGTGACAAAAGTCCTAGTAATGAGTCTGTGTATAACCCATGCTTTCAAATTTATATCAGTTTAATTTTTTAGTACATCTAATAATTTATGTAAAAATTTCATAACAATTTCTTTTTCTTTTTAAAAATTTTTACAGGCGGTGTTTAATTGTAAGAAGTGAGAATACAATAATTGTTGAAATGAAATTGACCAACAGATAGAACAAGACTTTCAGTTTCCAACAAGGGAAATATCAATCTGGATGGATGTAAAAGGAAAAGCAACAGTTCAGCCATTAATTAAAGATGTTGGGTCAGTTGAATTTTAGTTACTTTCCATTTTTTATGCAATAAATGCTATGTATTGTGATGACAGTTAATGGCATCTTTGGAATTCTTTTGAATCATGTTGATTGTTATCACTGGAATTCATGTTGGAAGTCCTGCCCATTAAGTCCCCAAGTGGCCAAACTGTGTATACAGTGAGTATGAAATGTGGACTCGTTGGGACTTTGGCGATTCCAGATTTGGGATTTTTCCAGATATTAGATCATCAATTTAAATCTAGTAAAATGGCATGTAGAAGTTATAAAATTAAATATACGAAATCATAATTTATAAAATAATGAATAATGAAATTATGATCTAAAGGGTATCAATGTTTACAAAAAAAATGTATTTACTTTATTAAACATTTCTCTCAATGTAAGTTGTTTAAGTTGCTTCATTTTTTATGCTGATACTTTTTCTTTAATTCTATAAACAGACATAAATTTCTTTTTCAGTTACAAAGTTTCATTTCTGAAGTTCTGTAAATGCAGTATCGAGAACTCTGACTAACTTGTCAATCAGAATATTTTCATTTTCAGTAACCTTTCTGTTACTCTTTCACTATCAGTAGCAGCATTTTCTAGATCTAGAACATTACTACAGATTTTGCTGTCCATTGATTAACTGATGATTTGGGCATTGCCATTGTAATGAAAAACTTCTGTTATATAATCTTCATTTATTACCACTGAAGCATTACATTACATTTCTTTACAAAATGCATTAATTGGAAAATTTCACCTTTTATTTGTGATATCCAAAAATCTTTAGATTTATGGCTATCATCTTCATCATTCTCACCATGAAATATGGTAGATAGCCATAAATTATGCTAAGCATTTTTCAAAGTATCTGGAGACACATCCTCCCACGATCTGGCAATGCTCCATGCAGCAGATTTTTATGCTAAAATATTTCAAAAATTCTTGAATAGGCTTGCCGTTATTCAAGAAATTCAATATGGTTTTTAAAAATGCTACTTTATATTTGCATTTCAGTGTGCACACTATTTTGATATCCTTAGGCTGAATGATGGACGTACAATTTAAAGGAAAGAATGATATGGATACATTATCTTTCACTAAAACTTTAAGTGACATATAAGCCGAACAGTTGTCTGCAATCAGGATAGTTTTTGTGTCATCAGGGAAACTAACTGGATTTAGATGTTGCTGAGCCTCAGGTATGAAATGATTTTCAAACCAATCATTCATTAACGCTTGTGTCATCCATGCTGTTTTGTTTGCACGATATATAACAAGGAAAATCTTTACTTCTTTAAATGCTTGAGGTTGTGTATTTTTCCAATTACAAAAAGTTGATGCTTGTGCATTCTGGTAGCATTAGCTTATGTTAAAATTGTTAATCTCACTTTGGAATCTTTGACACCAATAGGAGCCTTTTTTTTTTTTTTTTTTCCCTTGTAGAGGGTGCCAAGGTATTTTGCAGTACATATTGGCAGCCAGAAAAGACCGGTTTCATCAGCGTTGTAAATTTGTTCTGGAGATAATTTTTCACTAGTAATGAGTTCAAAGAATTCATCTGTAAATAGTTCAGCAGCTTCAGTATCAGCTGAAGCTTTTTCACCTGAAAATTTTAATTGCCTTATACCATGGCAATTTTTGAATTTGGTTAACCAACCTGTCGAATATGTACCCTCAGGTTTTAAGTTCATTTCTTCATGAAATATTTTAGCTTGAACCATTAGCATTGGGCTTGTCAGTGGCACAATCTCACTGTGAAAGCTGTCTGACCATTCAGTCATCACTTTGTCATGATCGTAGCTTCTAGCATAACAAACAATTTTGATGCCAGACAACAATTTTGAAATCGATGGGTCTTTCTCCTGGGGAAGGTTGAAGTGCTGAAATTTAAAAAAATTTAGCTAAACATAGACAAATAAAACTCGAGTGGAATAAACAAAGAATAAAAATAAATTAATATACTTGTATTCAGTCCTAGCGCAGGGTCAGTAAACTTCCTATCCTTTAATGAACATAATTTTGAATCCTAAACAACTTGTAAATTAATCATAAAAAATTATTACATCTTAAACTGCTATAAATAATGAAATTCTATCGTCTCACAGAGTAGAAAAGGAGAAGACTGGTGCTGCCATCTATTGGCGTGGTACCCTCTGTATGGACACAGGTATATATTACATACCGGTTTTAAAATCATATAAATAATCTTCTGCTAATTATCACTTCTGACTGAAATAAAGTAAATATATAAGATTAAGCATGTATACGTCATATATTTGCAGATTTCGAATTTTTTCTTTCCCTCCAATAGAATTGATGATTCTTCAAACATAATTATCTTGGAACGAAGTATATTAATTTCATAACTGCAAAATATTGTGTTTCCTAGGATAATGCTGCCATTTAGAATCAAAAGAAAACACTAGAAACTTATGATTACAGCTTTTAGTGTAAAAAAAAGTTACCATTTTTAGGAGGTTAAAAAATTGAAATAAATAGGTTAAAAATAGCAGTTTGTATACCAGTTCCCTTTAAAGGGTTAAATAGTCTAAACTTACCTATTTATTATCAACTGGGACACAATGTAAATAATTTCTATTCATATGCAAGCATTCAGAATCCCTTCAGAGTTATTTACAAGGGACTGCCGAGTTTTTTTGTTAACTGTGCCGTGTTAACATATTTATGACATATTGATGAGTGGGAGTAAGATCAGTTAAACATTGTTTGTTGTATACTACTAGCTACTGTTCTATAATGCGATAGTAGTAACACACAGGCCTACATAAAAGCACATGTGAAAGTGAAATCCTTTAATAAGTGGTTTTCATAACAACATTTTAATAACCAATAATAAAAATCAGTACTATTCGGTTTTGAGGGCCGTAAAATATCGCCAAACTATTGTTGATGCCAGTGCTGCCAAAAATAATTGCGGCAACCATAACGCAAGAAAGGAAGTATAATAGTAAATAACTATCTAAGATTGATGTTTTACTTTAGGTGAAAGGTTAATTTCATATAATACTTTTTTATTATTATAATTTATATAAAAAAGGCTAAACATGACTGAATGGAAGCATAGGAGTAAATAACTATTTCAGATCATTATTATAATTTATATAAAATTGCTAAACATTACTGAATGGATGCCTGCATCGCTATTTCGCTACTGACTTATCACTAAAGCATAGTTTCATCACGTTGGTTGTTCAAACATAATTTTCTATAATGAATGATGCCTTTTCTTTGAAAAAATTCTCGGTAAAGTGCAGAATCGCCCACTTATTTGTTTGCCACTTTTTACAATGGTAAAAACAATTGGATTTTTGTCAATTTTCTGTTACTTTTTAAGTGAAAATAGGTCGATGTGTACATAGATAAAGTCAAGGGTGTGCGCAGTGCTATTTTTTGTGCAATTCTGGGATTTTCTTTTAAAGTGAAAATAGGTCGATGTGTACATGGACACCGAGTATGTGAAAACGCGTCAAGCAGTGAGTGATTCTGCACTTTACCCAAAATTCTATTGCAGACTTTTCGTCATGGGCAATTCCCAAATTGTAAAATACATAGGATATCAAAAAAGGATTTAAAATTAAACTAGTATTTCAATGGCATCTTGAGAAATATTGAATTATATAAACTTACGTAATCTGAAATCAGCGCATATGCTAGATTTGGCGCGCCATTAAATGGGCGCGTTTGCTAGATTTGGTGCTTTTGCACATACAATTTTGCTGCAATTTTTTACCGTCCTCAAAACGGAATAATACCTAAAAATCTAATGTGGATACCAATGATTTTCCTGCGTGTCCTATTAAATTATACACACTTTTTGCTGCAACAAAGAACTGAAATTAAATATTGTTTTAATTTATAACAATAAACTGTTATGAAATATTATTATATATTTACAATTATAAACTGATATTAAATATTGCTAGATGTATAAACATAGGTAAACTATTATTATGTACGTAGATTCATTAGATTTTATTATTTTATAGAATTTTGTTACTTGTTGTTGTTGTTTTTTTTAATTTGACATTGCCAAAAACATGAATATTTTCGTCATCTAAAACCCTTCTGTAATTGGAAGTATATGACTATGACCAACGATTATGAAATATCTGTGCTTAGTACTGCTGATTGCAATACAAAGGAGGCACATAACTAGATGTTTGTTATAGCAGTTCCATATACAGAATTTTAATGTTCTACAGCTAATCCTTTTTGAGTTATGCGAGATAACATACATACATATGTATGTACAGATGTAAAAAAAAAAAGTCCCTTTTGAATCCATTTTGGAAAACAGTCCTGTTTTCATTTTGAAAATCCATTTTGAAAACTGTTTATACATACAGAAGTCAGGCAAAGAATTTTCCAAATGGATTCAAGAACAATTAAGATGAATATTTCCTTTGAAAATGAGACCTGAATTTTTTAGTGATTACAATACTTTTTTTACTTCATACAAACAAGTAATAAAATAATATTAAATTGCTCTGTTATACGAACTGACCTCTCTACTTTAAATGCATCCTACTAACATAATTTGTTTTTATTGTTCCTCTGACAGCATTTAAAATATGTAGATTTTAAGCTTTGTGTGATAGCCTACTTTCTGCTTCTTTCATTTACTTTCTATTTTTCCACCCTAACTTAATTTTTTTTAATGTGCTCAATATATGAAGATCAGAAAATAAAATTATATTTCAAGTACAGAATTTTCTCTGGAATTTGCTGGCTATTATATTATTACAAGAACTAAATCTGCATCATTACGTATATATGTTGTATTTTAATTTGAAAATTTTGTTTTTATTTATACTAAATATATACTCCAACATTTTTAAGTTTTTTTTAAATTATAATAATTTGTTGTTTTAACAGACAGTCATGGAATCTGAATCTGCACAATCTATGAAGAAAAAGTCAAAAGGACACCATTGTTATTTTTGTGGAGAAAAGTTTTTTGATATTAAATTTTTAAAGAAACATATTTCTTCTCATAAAGAAAGGCCATATACTTGTCAGCTGTGTGACCGCTCATTCTCAGACAAATCTGTATTGCGCAAACATAGGTTTGTACATACCAAAGAACGACGTTATCAATGTGAAATCTGTGGTAAAACGTTCATTCATAACTGGAACTTGACAAAACATAAAGAAATTCACACAGACAAGATAAAACTTGTTTTGGAACCTTGTCTATCTTGTAGACAAAACACAAGATTGAATAATTCTTCATTTTGTTCCAACTGTATTTATCAAGGTAAACAAACTGAAAATGGAATTTTTCTGTGTATACTCTGTGATGCAGTTTTTAAAAATTCCGAACAGTTAGTTAGCCATGTTGTTTTCCATGAGCTACATATTAAAGAGCATAATGATAAAAAAACTAAAAGTCAAGAACACATAAAATCTTCATCTTTTACTTGTGATGTTTGTAAGCATAAATGTAAATCAGCTGGTAATTTAAAAAAGCACCTTTTGAGCCACTCCCAGGAACGGCCATTTTCTTGTGAGCAGTGTGATGGAAAATTCAAAACATCTCATGGTTTGCGACAGCATATGGCCACTCATAATGACCATCGTCCTTATGCATGTGAAATTTGTGGGTCTGCTTTCAAGTCTGCTGCTTCACTAAAACAGCACGCTCTGATACATTCAGAATTTAGACCTTATTTATGTGAAGACTGTGGGAATAGATTTAAAACTGCTAGAACTTTAAAGAAACACTTAACAATCCATCAGAACTATCGACCATATGCGTGCAGCTCATGTGGAAATTCTTTCAAATCTGCATTTTCTTTAAAACAGCATTTGATAACTCATGGTACTGAAAGGCCGTATACTTGTAGCACTTGTTCAAAAAGTTTTAAATTTTTGAGTAATTATAATAGGCATCGGCGTACACACACTGGAGAATGTCCTTATCAGTGCCTAATTTGTAATAAGAATTATAGCCAAGCAAATACTCTGAGGATACATTTGTTAACACATACACAAGATGATACATCATTAAAACATCAAACTTGCAATATATGTGGATGTTCTTTTAATACTTTAAAAAGATATGAGAGGCACATGTTAATGCATTCTAAGCCATCTGAGAAATTTTTCTCAGGAAAAATTGTTTAATTAAAAAAAAAATGTATCTAAAATTGTACAGTAAACCCTTGCTGAATGCGGACTTGTGAAACATGATTTTGTATATATACATTATCGTTATTCTCCCCATTTAATTTGTTCATTGCAAAAATTTTAGTTGTATATGGTATGCTGCAGAGTATCAGCCGCCTTGCGATAGTTCTCTTTTATGCCTGGTTTGAAAATTTACTTATTAACTCTCTCGCTGTGCATTTTACGACGAGCGTAGAATTAGCAAAATTTGCACAACCGTGATTTCCGTGGGGATGAAATTTGCCATTTGTTTAACTGTGCAACCCGTCTTTCCCTGTTCAAGGTTTCCTTTCGGCTTTTCTGTGATTTTTAATTGTTTATTTAGATGTGGCCTAACAGATGGCATTAGTTATCCGCATTTCTGACAAATATACAAGAATACGTAATGTAGCATTTTGCGCGCGCTTTTCAGAGTTCAAAGCTGTCCGGCAGGAAGCGTTTCGCGAGTTATATAACCTATATTCCTGACGATATTTCCAACACTGATGGTAGTTCTGACTCTGATTTCAAGTATATTGAAGATAGTTATAGAAAAACTGATGAGATTTTCTCAGATTCCTCTGCAGATAGTGATGAATCTGAAAATTCAGTTTCTATTGAAAATGTTTAACAGTGGTGCAAAATTGATACATATGTTTTGATTGATTGAAAAAATTGATATATATAATATATAGTATACAGTACAAAGTCCATAATTCGGACTTGTCGGGACTTCGGCGATTCCAGATTAGGGTTTTTTCCGAATTATAGATTATCAATTTAAATCTGGTAAAATGGCATGCAGAAATTATACAATTAAAAATATGAAACCGTAATTTATGAAATAAAGAGCAGTTATGATTTAAAGGGTATCAAAATTTACAAAAAAGAAAAGCTTAATATTGTTTACTTTATTAAACATTTCTCTCAATGTAAGTTGTTTAAGTTGCTTCGTTTTTTTGTGCTAATACTTTCGCTTTAATTCTATAAACAGACATAATTTCTTGTTCAGTTACAAGGATCCACTGTTCAAATCATTTAATTGCTGCGTCAAGAATACCGACTAACTTGTCAATCAAAATTTTTTCATTTTCAATAACCTCTCTGTCACTTTCTTTACTATTGGAAGCGTGCATGTGTAAGCGCTTTACTGGCTTTACGCGCGTGCGTAGTGGACGCATGCATTAAATGCGCATGTGTAAGTTTGTGGCTTTGAGGTCCGAATTATAGATCATTCCGGATAATGGATGTCCGGATTACGGACTTTGTACTGTATATGTTTTACCTTGGTATTTTATAAAATAAATCATAATTTAACCAATGTTAATTTTCAAAATTTTCCTTTTATATCATTATTCTTCAATTTTAGTATTCTGACAACTTTTTTCTATGATCTACATCTATATTGAAAAAAAACTCTTTTACAAAAAATTTTTGTGTATTTTAACTCTAAAATATATGTAGATTTGAAATATTTAATAAAAAAATATGAAATTTTTGAACCTATTTTGATAAAAAAAAAAAAAAAAAAGTACGCAGTGAGAGGGTTAAAGAAGTGGCTGAATGTTGAAGTCACTGAACGCGGGTAGTTCAGTCCAAGGTTCGAATCCCATGAACAAGCTGGCTGCATGAGCGTTTTCATGGCTTTTCTCATGTGTAACGTGTATATGAGCCAATTCCCTTAAAAACTCCTTCATGAAGGCATCTGTCCCATAAGGCAGATAGCCCTCGAAACTTTGCCGTAATCACATAAACTAAACTAAAGAAGTCAAACATTATTTTGAACAGTAAAACTTAAGCTTTCTAAAAAGCTTTTTCTTTTCTAAAAGCTTCTTTTTCTAAACTAAAGTTCTCATAGCATCTAAATGTAGAGGTTTTATTTTTTCTACCAAACATCACTTCCTTAATTCAACCAATCATCAAGAAGTCATTAAAACATTCAAAGCCTATTACAACAGACATGTTTACCTGAAAATAAAGCTTTAGGGGAAGGGAAAGCAGAACATACTAACAATATATTTTGGAATCAATTCAACATAAAGTACTGCATAGAAAGAATTAAACTTATATGGGAATAAGTGAATTCATCAACAATTAATGCTTGCTAGCATTAGTGCTGGCCAGAAATTGTCAACAGTTTAAAAAAATTTCCATCGATTGAAAATGAAGCCAAGGCTATCATACAAATTGAAAAAGCCATAGGCACCAAAGGATTTTCAGATATGGAAGAAGGAGAAATCAAAGAATTAGTCAAGAATGATGATTGTAAAATGACAAATGAAGAATTGGATAATCTTATGACACCAAATGATGTTGAAAGCTGTGGTAGTGTTCAAAGATAACGATACAGTAACATTATATACTAGGTCTTGTACACAGGATAAATATACAAGAAAGTAAATGAAGTGTTCAAAAAGGCACTGAAAATATCTGATTTTTTAATATAAGTTGATCATAATAAAGAAAGATAAGGAGACTTTATGAGATGTATTGATAAATTTTGTTCTCCTCACCGCAAATGAAATGTTTAATGAGTTTGGACATTGTCTGAAGCAAAAATCACCAGCAATTAAAAAAAAATAATTGTATCATGTACCTACATATTGTACTAGAAATCCTTTTAATTAATATTTGGGTCATTTTCTTCTTTTAATTACAATAATATGTACGTTTATATAAATTATATATACTTTCTTAATCTGAACTATGCCTAATTTTCTCGTACACACAGTGTGTTAATGACATACCCCCCCTCCCGGTATTTGGCAAGGATTTCCTGTACATGTACATGAAATTTTATTGAAGTATCATAAATAACATTCATAACCTGTAAAGCATAAGTTTTGCTTGATGAAAAGTCAGAATTTGCTATTGATTGGAAAGTTCCAGAGGTATTGTTCATTTAATAATTCTGGTTACAGGATTATAAATCATCGTTCATTATAATTTTTTAAACTCTTTAATATTTTGCAGATAAATGAATAATAGTTAAGAAAAATAGAAATTTATATTAAAAGGTATAATCAATCAATTATATTAACATATTAAAAAGTTCCAGCTGAAAATTAAAAACTGTGCATTTTTTCACTACTTTTACTAAATGCTACTATTATTTGAAAAGAGAGAGCATGTTATTTTGAAACTATTATTTGAAAAGAGAGAGCATAGTTATTTTGAAACTATTATTTGAAAAGAGAGAGCATAGTTATTTTGAAGAATTATTATGTAGGTTTGTTAAAAATTATTAAATATTTTAATATATATACACTAAAGTCCTCATGCCCACAAGTAGTATGTTCCAAGATTTTTTACATGGATAACAGTAAAATATTATATGAAGCAAGATGGTCATGTGACACATCTGTAAATAATCACAGTCAGACATTACTTACATTAAATATAGTAGTAATAAAATATACCGTATACTAACTTTTATACTGTATTATAAAATGTTGAGTAAATTGTATTCTACAGTATATTTTGTATGTATTAAATTAAAAGATTTCCGTATTAAGCCTAGCTAAAAAATAGCAGAACTGTGAAGAAATGCAATACATGTTTTATATGTATATTGTTTTAAGAAATGATGGAGATAAATACATTTTTTTTTACTTGTATGTGATGGAAACAATGAAATAAAGATATTCTTGCAACAGATAATGTACTGGATTATGTCTATGTCTGTCTAACAGGTAACCAATATATCCTTTTTTTGCCTTTCTTTATTCTTTTTTATGACTCACATGATATACCTATCTGATAGTAAATCATCAGACAAATGTTATTGATGCTGTCAGCACTTAGATGATAGAATCTCTATGGAGCCATTATAAACAAATAATTGTATAGCATATGAGAGGAGTACCACTTTTCTAAATTGTGATGGCAATCTGTAAACAATGAGGAAAAACTGAGAGTTGAGAGATGCAAGGACAGTGTTTTTATGAATACAAAATTAGGGATGGCTATCAGTGTTATTTTATATCTGATTACAGTAGTAAAATGATCTACTGACAGATGTGAAATGGGAGTGTTTCAACTGACAGATGCCAAAAAAAAGATTGCTTGAATTGCTTTTTAATGTTTTTAAAGTACAATGATGAACCTCTTCCTTCTGGCAGTGTAAAAAAAATAAGTACATATAATTTCTTTGTATTTTTTATTTATTTATTCACGTACTCCCTCTTTTCACATGGTTTAGTATAGTAATGTTATCAGTTTATTTGGTTTTGTCATGGTTCACTGGAAGTAGGTCACCTGCTGCAAGAATACCAAAATATATACAGTCAAAAGTCGTTAATTCGGACACCCATAATTCGGAATGATCTATAATCCGGACCTCAAAGCTAAAAACTTTCTGCGCATGCTCCGCGTTGACACATGCGCATAAGCGTTTACGCGTGCGCGTAAGACCTCTTATGACTGCGCATTTGCGTGTGCGCAAGCGCAGAATACGTTTTCACGTTCGCGTTTTATGTATAACGGACGGTGTAAGCTAAAATTATATAATTATCTATTTCAGTTAATGTTTGATGATTGCGTTGTTCCTTAATTTTCAAATTGGATCCAGCTTATTATTTTTGCAGACTGTAAGAGCAATACTAAAAAAGTAAACTTGAACTTTCGATTATGTCAAATAGAATTTTTGATTCTGGAGCTCCCAAAGGATCATACAAAACGAAAGTATGTTTCGATGTCCATCAAACAAAAGTGGAATTGCTGCAAAAAATGGATAAAGACATGAAGAATGTGACAGACAGGTTAGTGAAAACGAAAAAATTTCGATTGACAAGTTAGTCGGTATTCTCGGCACAGCAATTAACGGGACTTGAACAGCGGAACTTTGTAAGTGAACAAAAAATTATGTCTGTTTATAGAATTAAAGAGAAAGTATTATCACATAAAACGAAACAACTTACATTGAAAGAAATGTTTAATAAAGTAAACAAATAAATATTAAGCTTTTTTTTTTTTTGTAAATTTAGATACCCTTTAGATCATAATTGTTCCTTATTTCATAAATTACGGTTTCATATTTTTAATTT